ATGCCCTCTAAATGAACTGTGTTTCCAGGACCTCAGCTCAGGAAAGGAGAGGTGTGATCAAGGGTGGATAAATGAGACACTTCCCATGGCATAGAGTGTCCACTTTCCCACACAAAGTCCTGGGAGAAGCGGGGGTCCTGAGGGGCAGGACCCATTGGAGGGCCACAATGTAGGGGAACCTGTAGCCACGCCTGCTTAGGGGCTGGCTACAGGTCTGCCTGACCACGCCTTCAAGGGCGTGGTCAGGGTGACAGTAAGAGTTTCAGTTGGCTGGGTTTCCGCTTTCAGTTTTCACCCTTTCGGCTTGCTGTACAGACTGCTGCCACGCCGGCTGGCTAGGTGGCTCTGTAAGTAAGGCTTTTCCCTATTAAATACCCTTATATTTCTACCTGACTCCGTATTGGCAATTTCCCACTTTACCACAAACCATGCCAGCTCTGGGGAGACATCATCATCTTCTCTCCTCCTGCCCCTTCCCTAGTAGCCCAGCCCTACTTGACCTCCTTGGCCATTCACAATAGCTGATGTCTGACTCCCCCAGACTACCTAGGAAATATGCAAATAAAGGGTGATGCAGCCCTCCCTTACTCAGACACCTCCTCCTGTGTGTTCCTCAGAGGCTCAGTCGCCACAATGATGCAGTTCATTTTCCCACCTTGCAAAGTAGGGCTTCAGCCTAGACACAAAGGGATGTTTTTTATATCCCCAGTATTTCCTGGCCCCCTGAACTCCTCTCTGGCTGGGCTCTTTGTGGAGGTAAAATCCTGTGTGTCTACTATCACCCTCTCCCTGGATTCTGGGTCCCATTGGTTGGGGATGCAAAGCCTTATATCCTGGGACTTGAGAGTCCTTCCTATTCAAATAGTGTATTGTGCCTGCAACTTTTCAACCCAGGATGTACTAAAAGGCCCAGACAAGCATGCAGTAGCTGCCCGCTGGGGAAGACAGGAGTCCAGTGCCTCTTGCTTGTCTGATTGTCTGATGAGCTCTGAATGTACCTGATCCCAGAAGTGGACCATAATAATCTGTTTCTTGCAGTAGGGAGAGGGTGGAGAAGGCTGAGTCTCAGGGCACCCTACCTTTGTGCTCAGATCTGAGCCTCCCAGAGAGTCCTCCCAAGGACTGCTGAATTCATGTCACATTTGGGTAACAAGTTCTGTCTCAAGAGCCTGGCAGTCTCTGGTGACAATCTGCTCCCCTTGGAGACAGTTTCCTCAGAAAGAAAGTACCACCACTGTCACAGATGCAGCAGCCGCTCTGCCTCTGGCCAGAGCTCTGTGTCTGTTTCTGTCAGTGTCTGACTCCATCATACCCATGACTTCTGGGTACAGCATGGAACAAGGGGAGAGATGGGCTGTCTGAAGCAATGACCACCAGGAGTGACAGGCTAGAAGAGAGGGGCTGGGCCCCCAGGATGTATTTCCCCTCTGTACCCTTCCCTGCAGGGCACAAGAGCTAGCAGGAAAAGGAAGGGTGTGTTGGGGGTCATCTGTACATATCAGGTAAGAAGAATCTAGTCGGCCCACAGAAGGACAGAGAACAGACCAAGCCAGTACACAGTGTTGTCGGTGACAAGAGCGTTACAGAGCCTTAGCTTGTGAGAGCCGAAAAAAAGGGTGGAGGTTCGGGGAGAGCAGTGAGAGAATTAAGACCCACTCCCTAGGAGGGAGTCCTTGCCTGGTATTACAGGCTGACTGCTGCCTCTTCCCTAAACAGACATAATTCTTAACTGCACTCTAAATGCTTACCCATATCTCCACAGATAAGTGTAGCTCTCACCCCCCCTTTTTTTGAGCAGACAAACTATTACAGAAAGAAACACCTGATCAAAATGCAGAGAACAAATGACCGTGGGGTACCTGAACCCCAGTTATCTACAACACAGCCTCTATACCCAAGGCTCAGAGAACATCAAGAAAGTGGGTGGGGTGGAAAGATTTCAAGAGCCAGAGGACCAGGACATCTGCTGTGAGAGGGTGTCTTCTATATACGACAGGGAAGCTGTCACCTAAATAAGACCTGCATGATAAGACCTGTATGACGACATCTCCAGGTGACATGCCAGTGTGCATGGGGAAAGCTCACAGGCACCACCCCTAGATGAAAAACTACAAGTAATCATTGGCTGCTCAGAGAGGGAGAGGGGTCTTCTCCAGGAACAATCCAATCCCGATTATCCAATCCCAAGGGATCAGCCCTAAACACACACAGTCATGAAGAACCCTTTCCTACCAGGTATTGAAAGCTAGGAAACAGTAATTCAAACCAGATGCCAATATACCAGCACATACTGTCTGACCAGTGTTACCCCATCATGGGAGGCCGGTGTGAAGCTGAGGCAGAATCACGGGTCAGTGGAATTGGCATGCTGGTGGGAAGGATGTGCTGACTGCAACAGTGTAAAGCTGCATCCCTGGGTGATTGTTTCTGTGGGTTGGCTGTGATGTGTCATGAGATTCCAGCTACTACACCTTCCTGACCCCCAGGATGCACGTTATTTGTGGGGTGCTACACCTAGTGCAGAGATGACAGATGGCTAACTGGGGCTGGGACTCCACTGAGCAATTGTGATGAGCCATCACCATGCTGGGAGAGCTTCAGGTGATGCAGCTGCCTTTGAGTCACCCGTTCCCACCTGTAAGTAACACCAATACACACCCTGGCTCACCCGTGGACCCAGATGGAATGGCTTCCTTGGTCTGTTAATGGCCTTTGGGGAATGAACAGGTGTTCTGTGTGTGGCCCCAGAAATACATGTAGCAATCCCTGCTTGAGACCATACAAAAAGTCAAGGACTTGTTTTTGTTTGGAGCACAGGTCTGGGCTAGCTTTGGACTCATAGCAAATCTTCATAGCCTCAGCTTCCCCACAGCTGGCATTTCAGATATAAACCTCACATCTGGTTAAAAGTAAAAGAAAAAAAAAAAAACAATAGAACCCTGGAAACCAGAATTTGTCTAGGGAGTCTCATGGTGGGGGGAAAGAGAAGGATAGGACCCAGGTGCCAGCCAGGGGGGAGCTTGTGGCCTAGAAAGAGATTTCTGATATTCTGAAAACCTGTCCGAATACCTTGCAGGAAGAATGAGGCCCAGGCAGTGGTGGGGGCGACACTCTGACCACACAAGCTTAGCTATGCAAACCTCTTGCCCTCTATTTGTACATAAACCTTACTTCCACACCCTGAGGATGGCTTCTGGTACTGGCTCTTTCCTGAGTGGCCATACCAAGTAATTTGCCCTTTTGTGGTTTTTCACTGTAACTTGCCTGTTTCGTTGGTCTTTGGGGATGTGACTGAGCCTAGCTTGTCAGGGCTGGTAAAGATCTAGCCTCTGTCTCTGATAATTATGGTAACCGAAGGGCAGAGTCTCCTGTTAAACATGGAGGACCACTCTGGGAGGCAGAGTGGCCCTCTCTGGGTGGCTGTGCTACCCTGGGAGTTTGGGTCCCCGGGGAAACCTCCAGGTTGGCTCTCCCACCCTACTGAAGGGGTATTCTCTTGGGGTGAGTCTGACTACTTATGTGAGGGGTTCACCTACACCAAAGGCAAGGGCAAGACAGGCCAGACCCTATATACCAGGCCAGTCAGCCCCTGCCCCATTATCTCTGGACAAATCAGCTGTGCCTGTCCAAGTCCTGATTCCTAGTATAACCCAGAGCCAAGGGACAACAGCAGGTGACACTGGGTAGGGCATCAGAGAGGGATGCCGGCCAGACATCTTTGAGAACCACCTGAGCACCTACGAGCCATGGTATGACATTACTGGAAATGGTAATCAGAGTATGTTGTTGCTCTGAGGACACTGTAGCCTTCCCTCCAATCCTCTGAGAATGAAGCTGTGCTGGCCTGTCAGGCACCCAGATCTGAATTTGACTCTAATACGGTCCTTCCCTTCTGAGGGCCTGACAGTCGGAGTGTCCCCCTCTGATGTCAGACATAGGGTGAATTGATTAAGTGGCCACATGCCATGAGCCCAGATGGTGGCTCAGGAGCTGGCTTTGAGAACTGCAAGGAAACAAAATGCTTTTCATTTACAGAGCATCAATAAGGCCAGTTCTGAGAGGCATCGCAGAGAAAGTGAGACGGAAACTTTATTGAGCTGTGTCAGGGGCACACACATCACCGATGATTAAAACTCATCACACGGTAGCCGCACTTCAAGCTGCTCTCACGACATACATAACTCCAAGCCTCCTCTTTGCAAAAGAGCCAGACAAATGGATGTGGTCACACCTCATGTGGGACCTGCCTGTCCCACCAGCTGCAGCCCTACAGACCCTAGGGACAGAGGCAGCTCTTACTCCCAAAGGTTCATGCAGACACTGGCACCCTTGGTGGAGGTCTCACTATGTAGCCTAGGCTGACTGTGACCAAAGGGTTCTCCTGCTTCACTTCCCAAGTGCATACTTGATAAGAAAATTGCAAAACAAAACAAATAACAACATTCACTACTTTATCACCAGTCTTGTCAGCCTCTTCCATGGAGAAAAGTTTAAAGCTTTTCAACATTCTTTTCATTCTTTATGGCCTAACTTGTAAAAGAAATAATGAAAGGCACTCCACCCCAGCCTTTACCTGTAAGCCCTGAGGTGTCAGAGACCCACATAGCACCTGCCTACGATGCTTTGGGCATTCTTGCCTTATGTCTTTTCCTCCTTTAAACTCAAACATGCACAAAACAAAGTTAGCAGTGTATGGTAGGACGTGCTCCCAGGAACACCTCTGAGAACCTGCTGACACAGCTGCTGTAGGAAAGTCTATCTGTGGTACCAAGGGCCTTGCCACACTGCTCTGCCAAGCAAGTTGTCCCAACACACTACGAGAAACAATGCAAACATCAAACCTTAGCTAAATCTATAGCTGCTACATACCAACACTAGAAACAAAACTGGCTCCCCAACCCCCTCCAACATCCCGCTAGAAGAATAATTGTTTGAAAAGTAGAAGTGGAAGGATTGGCAGAGTTCCTGTAGGAAGCCAGCACGCAGGCCCTTGCTGTTGGTTAGAGGTAGTAGAGGCGGTTGGACAGGGAGAGGTTCGGTTCTCTGTGGATGCTCTGGCCCACAAGGAAGGCCAGCTTATGTGCATACTGGCAGGGTGCAGGGACTCGGATGACTCCCTGTGGGGAGAAAAAGGGCCGTCACTGGTTTGAGCTGGGTGGGACTCCCAAGGTCCCTACCACAGCAGGCTCATCAAGGCAGGTGGTCCTGAATAGGGCCCCAAACAGTTGTGCACTCACAGGCCAATTGTAGTACACATGGCAGAGCTTGTAAGTCAGTTGCTGGATGTGGTCAGGCTTCAGGCCACTGGTGTCATGGAGGACATTGTAGTGTGTTGGGGACACACTCCCACTCCTTACTGCCTGGCTCACGATGAAAAAGTCATACCTGGAAAGGCAGGAAGAGCCAGGCAAGGCAAGGACATGCACTTTTTATGAGGAAAAACCTTGTGTTCTAAACGACCTCATTTTTCCTCCAGCCCTAGTGTGTCTGCAATGTCCAGGACAGGCTCCTCATGAGCCACCGTGGCAGCGTGTACAGAAGACTGTGATGGTAAGACTGTTTCCATATGTGTCACCAAGCCAATGCCCCAGAGTATGCTGTCCACACTCGTGGGCCTTGTGTCCCTGCATGCTGCAGAGAGGGAGGGAACTCCCACACATGGACACATGGCAGTGGCACAGAGAAGGCCAGAGCCAGTTTCCTCCCTGCTGTGCCCCCATCTTAGCAACAGCAATGCAACAAATGTAATCACTAAGGACTCAGAACACATGTGCAAGAGTCAGAGGTAGAGCAACTGTACAGTTAGTAGAGGACCCAAGCTAAGGCCAAAGCTAAACTGCACACTAGGGAAAAACTGGACATCCAGAGAGTTCTTTGTTCCCTGGCACCCACCAAAGAGTGCCAGTCAGGAGGCTCCTATGATCTGGCCCTATTGGAAGAAGGAAATTAACCCTGCAATCCTGACGTTACCTAACCAGATAACCAGAAACCAGAAGTAGTCTACACTGAGTCTGTCTGGGAGAGAATGAGGGTCAGAGACGTTCAGTGATGTGCCCGCCGG